AGGGGATTCAAATCAATAGTTCACAGTGGCTACATCTTGAAAATATACAGAAAAATTGATAAAAGAGAAAAAAAAATTAATTAAAATGAAAATGATCAAAGTACCATAATAATCAGTTTTATTCAGTTCCATGGTATAACTCAAAGCACCATGTCATTTGTAACCATCTACCGTTGTATTGTCACTGCTGTACCGTGGTACTTTTTGGTTTAGTGATGATTCAGTAAACAGACGTTCAAATGGTTGATCTGGGGTCTGGTGTGAGGGACAAGGGCAGCCCTTCACTGTTAACCTCAACCTACACACACAATGCCACTGCTGTCACAGCCGGAGATGGGTGCTCTTCACTGAGAGTGTTTGTGTGTGTGTTTGCGTGCTTGTATGTGCGAGAGCTTCTGCATGTGTGTAGTGTGTGAACAGTATTCTCAGAAGCCCTCTACCCCCAGCTGTCTGCTGTAGCTAATGATTGGTCCCAGGGGGGCTGTTGGGAAGAGGAGTGTAGAAATTGAAACAGACGTTCGAGTCCCTGCCACAACGTGTGTGGCAGCTGGGAGCGCCGCTCCGCCATTCATATGAGGGAGGGAGAGCAGACTCTTAAAGTCATGAATATCAATGGTGAACACGGAGTCAGTGATGAAGCATCAACTGCCAACCTGCCGTGTTTCCAGCGAGCTCATATCGCTATATCTGCTTTGTAGCGCCTAAACGGCACTCGTGGTAAACACGGTGATCTTGGGAAAAGAATAAGTCCTTAAGTGGTGGTTCTATGCTACCACTTTAGAGCACCATTGAGGTTTTGTTTAATATTATCTGATGTCTAATGATAATAAATTTTAATTCATTTAGGTACTATGAACAATAATGTTTATTATTTTATAATTTATTCAGCATTTTTAAAAATAAATTTTATAATATTATTATGTATAGGCTACATGTATGTATGTAATTGTTTGTGTGTGTGTATAAATAAATAAATATATATATATATACAGTGGGTACGGAAAGTATTCAGACCCCCTTAAATTTTTCACTCTTTGTTATATTGCAGCCATTTGCTAAAATCATTTAAGTTAATTTTTTTTCCTCATTAATGTTATTTAATATAATTATATATTTTGTGTGTGTGTGTATTTTGTAAGAAAATGTATTTATATTTACTTAAAATTCACTAGTTAATCATTTACAATTAACTAGTTAAAGTGAAAAGTGAATAAAATTGATTCAATTTTTTGATTTTAAATTGATTTGATTTGTCTTAGACATTTGATTTTTTTTAAAAACTAAATTTACATAGTATCCAGATACCAGTGACATTATCATTAGGACGAATATTTCTTGCGTGTCTTTGATAAAGATAAAGCAACAATATTGATTGAGAATTATTGTAATTGTGTAACGAGGCTAATTGTTAAACCGTCTAATTTGTCTCTTGCCATGTGTAATTATGCTCAAATCCCACAGTGCATTTGAGTAATCCTCCGCTTCATCATTTATTCATTACCAAGCTGTTCTTATTAAACGCCTCAATCATAATTATTAACCGTATCTTATCAATAAAACAACAAATTTCATTGGTCCGCCAAATAAAACAGTCACCGTATGGAATTGTCGCAGGGAAACCGAAGTGTTAAAGGTAGCATTAGCTACACGCTAAAGTCGTCGGTGCCTACGGCGGATCGGGTGGCTGTAGTTTATCCTCCTGTACCCCCTGCACAGCCTCCATCTCTCTCTCTTTAAAGAGCATGCTAGCCTCGCGATCCCTCAAGGTAAACCCCCAAATTACGCCTAATGTTCTACACAGGCTAATGGTTGTTGGTGCCATTAGAATATGCGTTATTTGGCTCCGTGGGTTTCAGACACTCCCAGATCCGAGCGTCGTCGCACACACACACACATTTGCACGCGCACACACTCTTATACACCCCAGGCCTGTGGAGATGAATGGAGTTTGCAACACTACAATGAGCTTTTGATGCCAAGACAATGAAGGAGGCTTCCCACATGTGTGTTTCTGAGGGCCGCTAACAATATGGGGTCCACTTTGCCAGGCCCTTCTGCCCCTGGGCTGGTCGGGGGTTGTGGGTAATAGTGTCCCAAGGGCGCCCAAAAATGATGTCGAAGTGTCACGAAGCTCAGAAAGATGGCCGTGGCTTCCCTACTGGCACCCCCTTTTCTTACCGCGTCACAGAAACACACTAGCGTGGGGCGGCAGGTTAATATCGCTTCTATAAAATCACCTTACACCCAACCCAACCTCTCTTGTGCTCGTGTGGCGTCTCCCATTACAGCGTTGGTCCTCGGGCAACAGCAAATCATCATTTGTTACTCACGTGCACGTCCCCTTCTCGTCAAGCTAATAGAGGTGAAACGGAGGTGTGGTCCAGCTCTTGTTTTCCTCAGTGGTTGTGGATCTTCACTTGTCTTGTAAAATGTGGTGGAAGCGGGTAACCAGGGTCCAAAATTAAGGAAAAATCCTCAGTCGAGCAGTAACCTTTTTATGAGATGTTTAATAACATAATATGTGATCAGCTGTGTTTTCAAACAAATTAGTATCTCAGTTTTGCTAGGAAGCCAACATTTTTTGGTTTTTATATTATTGTTTTGTGTGTGTGTGTGTGTATCACTTATATTTGTGACTAGTTGTATCTCGGCCAAATATTGTCCTATCCTAACAACCCATACATCAATGGAAAGCTTATTTATTCCGCTTTATTCAGATGATGTATAAATCTCAATTTCGAGAAATTGACCCTTATGACTGGTTTTGTTGTCCAGGGTCACATTTAACTAATATATTATTTAAATGTATATTTTATGTGTTGTTGTTGTACATATATATAATTTTAATTAGTATTAATAATACTAATAAGATATATACATTAAAAATGAATATAAATGTATATAAAATAATAACAATAATATAAATAAAATAATTGTCGTATATTTTGTCAAAAAAAACAAGTCAGAAAAAGCCTGTTATGAAAAACACACTATAGCATTAGCGTGCACACATTTATTTCAATTGAACCAAAATCAAAGTCAGAATGATGTTTGTGTATATAATAATAATGTATGATG